CTTTCCCCTCATCCTACATGTGGATAAATGCAGTCTGTTCAAATGTTCTAACAATTATTTTTATACTTCATACATTTATTTCTTGAGAATTTCCACTTTCTGCTACCTCAAAACTGGTCAGTCTTGATTGTGGAACTGTAGACCCAACAAGAATGATAATGATATCAATAGAAATAATGAGTAATACAATGAATAAAAGTACCCAATCCTTCATTCCCTATTAACAGATCATAATTAGTATAATATTTTAACTATACTATACTTTCTTGTTTGGCTTTGGATTGTGAAAGATATAATATATTCTCCATGTTTTTGATAATATCACACCAAAGCAGAGATCGTAACCCAAAGAAAACAACCACACACGTATCTACAATAATTGTATTTGTGTGAAAATTTTTCAGTACTACATGTCATTGGATGATGTCACTTACATTACAGAATGTTGATTGTATTGTTTTATTCATTGAAGAAATAGAATAAAAGATGACACTTATGTACAGTAACACTGAGCCCAATATTATGATGTGATTCAAATTAGGACTGGTTAATTTTACTATTCTATAATGAGTTGATATGCAATGATGAAGAAGTTTCATACAACACTATCTACCTCTTTTTCCTGAAGATGACATTGAAAATGAAGCAAACAATGGCAAAAATTATACCAATTCCAGCAACTATATCATATATAACAACTAGTGCAATACTATTAGTAGTAATTCCAATTACTGGAAATCCATCATAAGGAGGCACTCCATCTTCATTAAAATTAATGATAAAAACATGCACTTGCTATAATACATACCACTCCAAAGAGTACTACTTGATTCTCCTGTTTCAAATGCAAAAAAGCTTCTTTCTGTCTCAAAACTTACATAGCCAAAAGAATATCTAGCTGGCACACCATCTTATGATACAATTGATTTAACGTAACAAACGGCATAATAATTAGCTTACTTAACACTCTGTACTGTTGATATAATATAACATTATCACTTCTAGCTCCATTTTCATTAAATTTTACTTGACCCTATTTGTTCCTTAAAATAATTTCATAGCTTTATACAATCATACTTACTGTTATTCCAAGAAAGTCAACTTCACTGAAACTTTGTTTAAAAATACAGCCTAGTTTTGTGTTGGTGTAGTTAAATTGTTCCAATGGTACTAGATCTCCTGGTACATTCTCACACCCACTGTCATTACCAGATGATATCTTCTTTGATGCTATATCTAATCCAATAGCTATTG